TAAAACAAACTTATAAGACTCTATCTCTGCTTTAGACACAGTATTTTGGCTAGTGCACCTTTACCAATGATAAGGTAAAGGTACTTTCTGCTTTCAGAAAAGGTGGCTGCCAAAAGTACACTGAGGCACATTATTTTGCATAAAGCTACATTTTAGCTGCATGGCTACACCAAGCACTCCCTCCACCTCCACCCCCCTCATGGCCTGCCCAACGGGGTAGGGAGGCAGAGATTCCTGTATCTGCCATTGGTCTTCAGTACGTTCCCCTCCCTCTTCTTCCCCCCCCCCCACCTGTGGCCTGTAAGCTGAGGCTCTGGGGCTCCAATGGCTCTCCCTCCCCCATAGCCTGCGGGTGCTACACCTGCAGGAGTTCTCCCTGCCTGCTGCTGTGGCCTGCAGGCACTATACTCCCAGGGGGTGGTGGCACTGCCCCCATCCTGCAGGGCCTTCTTTGTGGTCTGCAGGCTGTCTGGGGGACCCAGGCTCTGGGGGCTGCCGCTCTCCCCCCAACAGGCTCCTCTTGCAACCTGCAGGTTGTTGGGGAGGGGGTGAGGCTATGGGGCTTGGTCACGGCCTCCAATGAATCCCCCAACCCACGGCCTACAGCCTGCCTTCCCTCCAGCAGCTCCCCTACAAACTGTCTGTGGGGGCGAGGCTTCCAAGCAGCCCCACCCCACGGCCTGCAGGCTGTCAGTGGTGGGGCAGACTCCAGGTTTGAGGCAGGGGGGAGGGTCCCTACCCACCTGCCTGCAAGCAACATAGTGGAACACCAGCCCTGCTGGCCATTCTTGGTGCTGCAGCTGCCCCCAGTGGCCACTGTCAGTATCACATCCCAACTTGTCCATTGTAATTATTAGAGTCTTGCACATGTGGGTTATCGTGTAATAATCAAACTATGGGTACGTCTAGACTACATGCCTCTGTCGCCAGAGGCATGTAGATTAGGCTACCAGACATAGTAAAATGAAGCGGCGATTTAAATAATCGCTGCTTCATTTAAATTTACATGGCTGCTGCGCTGAGCCGACAAACAGCTGATCAGCTGTTTGTCGGCTCAGCGCAGCAGCCATGTAAATTTAAATGAAGCAGGTGAAGTGGGAAGGCTAAGAGTAGATTTTGGATTACATTAAGATCAATTATATATTTTAGCTGTAGACTTTTTCCCCCTCTGTGAAACACTAGATTTTCACTGGACAGCTTTGAGAATTGAAGACTGAGTCCTCTGATTGGAAGTTCAGTCATATCTTGCAAGTTTCTTCTTGTAAGTGGAACAAGAGTTAGCATTGCCACCTTTAATGTCCATGTCATATCTAATACATAATTTTAAGGCAACCCAGTTACACAATACCTGTATATTTATTATATTTTACTTATAAATCACATTACCATTAATGTAATTGAGGCTGAATGTTAATTGCAGAAGTTTGCAAATCTTTTACAATAGGTCTGAATCCCTGTTTGCAGCTGAATGGAGGCAGAACCAGACCTGTCAATCTAGGCAGGCTGGGGGAAGCTTTATTAGTCCTGCGCAGATTAAAAGAAAACAAAACCAAACAGTTTCAAGCAGCACTAGGAGCTTGTTTAGCTGCGGAGGGGGAGATGGGATTCTGTGCATAAGGGATGTGAAAGTATAACTATGTACACGGTTAACTGATGAGACAACTTCCATGGCTAGACATAGGCTCCTGATATACACAGGAAGTCCACTTAAAAGCCAGTGCCCCATGTCCCTTCCCCCCACTCCAGTGTGTGACTGCTGACATTTCAGCAGTTACATGTTTACTTAAACACATTTTAACATTCCTACTGGACACTGGCCTGGCCCTGAGCGTTGACCCTGCAGCTCCCATTGGCCAGGAACAACAACTAATGGGAGCTGCAGGAGTGCAGAAAGGGGCAGTGTGCCAATTGCTGCAACTTGGTCAGACCCCACCACTCTCTCATTCTCACGCTCTCATTATTAAATTATTAAATGGATTAAGCATTTTACCTTTCCCATGTTAGTTTATCAAACTTAAATTAATATTTTACTTGATGTCCAATGCACAAGATTTCAATATTTTCTTTCTTTATGGTGGGGTGGGGAACCTTTTTTGGGTCGGGGCCATTGACCCACAGAAAAATCCATTGAAGACCACACAATTGAGAAGCAAAAAATCCCCTCCCAGAACCCCCAACTCTCACGGATGTGGCCCCCAACTGAGACACTTCACACTTCTGGGACTCCAGCCCCCACAGGATGAGGGAAAGGGACAGGGAGACTGAAGTTCAGGGCTTCCCACAGGCCAGGTTTACTTTTCTGGGGTTCTGGAGTGAGTGGATTTTGTGGACCTCTTTAGCTCTGGGGTGGGAACAAAAATGAAGGGTTCAATGTGCAGGACAGGGCTGCCAGTGAATGGAATAGGGATGCAGGATCTGGGCAGGAGGTGGGGTGCAAGAGGAGGTGAGGAGAGCAGAGTCTAGAAGGGAGTTTAGTGGCAGGAGAGGGTGTGGGGTGGGGGCATGAAAGGAAGTTTGGAAAAAAGGCGAGACAGTGAGAATGCAGCCAAAGAGCTAGTTGGGGGAGGGAGACAAAGAAGTGGGGAGTAAGAGAAAGTGCACCTTCTGCACAGAAAAGTTGTTTTCCCCCCATCACATCTTCCCTCTGCTCCAGTCTCGCTCCCCTCAGCCCCATGATTCCCCCAGCCTGATATCCTGCATTGCCCCATGTCCCTCAGTGCAGCTTCTACCCCTCCCATCTTGTCTCCTCATCTTCCTGCCCCCACATCTCTTTGCCCCCAGTGCTGAGACTTGCATCCCACCAGGAGCAGTGCTGGGGCAAGGAGGGGGCGGAGGGGAGGAGAACAGAGTCACTTCTCTGCTCAGCCCAACCTTTTGCTGGGGCACATCCCTCACCTGTAGGCTGCTGTTCTGGGGCTGGAAAGGGAAGAGCCCGGAGCTGCTCGGGGCTGGTTTCAGCCCGGCCAGATGCAGTGGGGCACTGGGGAAGGGACTCCCCACCCTGAAACACACCTTGTGGGGAGCAGCATGGCGCAGCCCAGACCCCAGTGCACCATGGAGGCAGCAACAGCTTGTGACCGGCCGCCTAGCCCCAGATCTGCAGAGCACCTCCGTCCCTGTCCCTGTCCCCTCCCGGAGCAGGGAACAGAGCATGTAGGAAGGGTTTTAACCCCTTAGCTCCTGGGAGCTCCATGCCCAGGCTGGTCAGGGCAGCCCCAGGATCATGGAGATCAGTGCAGGGACACACTGTCTGCTCTGCTTGTTGGGCTGACCAGACCCCTACATGCCCACATGTCTCTTCCCGTGGCCTACCCACCCACCCGCCTGCCCTTCAAGTAGGAAGCAGGAACTGGTTCTCTAGCCTCCAATTGTGCAGCAACTGCAAAGCTCCAGCTGCTGCCGGGAGATGGGTGGGTGGATTGGTGCTGCGCTCCCACCAGGCATGCCACTCAGAATTGGCTTGCATGCCACTTAAGGTATGCGTGCCATAGGTTGCTGACCCTTGTGCCAGCCCTTGTTTCTTGAAGCAAAAGTGTGAAGCTTTATAGAGGCCTTCTCTTCTGTCACTACTAGCGCATAGCAAGAAGTGGAGTCACAGCTTAGATACTTAAGGACAACACCCTGGAATAGCTGCTACAAAAGATGGGTTTATGAAACTACATATAGGTCGGAAAATGTTAAATGCTGTATCAGGACTGTATATGATCACTCGTGAGAGAGAAACACTTCTTCCGTGGGGAGGCAGGGACAGTGTGTGGAGGTGTGCAGAAAAATGCTGGCAGCCAGCTGCTTCTGGGAGTGGCATGGAGCCATGCCATATAGGCAGCCTGTCTGAGCCTTGCTGTGCTGCGGGACTTCAATTGAAATGGCCTGAATGAGGCTCCAGAATTGACCAGTTGATCGTGATTGATTCTTATTTAAGCTTTATACTGCTGAGCCCACCGCGAAGCCTCCCCAGGAGCAGGTCTGGCAAGGGCTGCCAAACCCCAGTCCTTTGAAGGCTTCACTGTGGGCTCTGTAGTAGGCTCCCAGGGAGCCAGTGTATAGCCTGCAGCCAGGCCCACCATGGACAAGGGCTGCCCCAATGGGTAGCTCTAGTCCTTACCAATTAACTGGAACCAGTAAGTCTCCCCTGTTAAGGGTGAGGCTTACTGGTTAACCTTTTACATCCCTAGTCTAGAAAACTTGGATAGTCTCATTTTAAACTTCTACCTAGTCTGTCATGAGTGGGTTCTCATGTAGTCAGAGTACTTGGAATGCTATTACCATTGATCAAGTTTGGTTCCTGGGCTGAAATATAGTGAAAACAACTATATTTTCAAATAACACAGGGTTTGTATTGGTGAGGCGGATAACTGTGAGCTTCACCATATAGTGCCTGAAGCTTTTGCATCAGCAATGCTGATTTCAAGTCCTCTAGGAGAGCAGTTAGTGACAAGATTCTATGAACAGATGCTAATATTTTCAAAACCAAAATACTTTGTAATGTAAAAATAAATTGTGGCTGTGTTCTTCAAGTTTCTTAGGATAATATTAAAAAACTCTGACATAGAAATTTTGTTTGATTTTTTTTTTAACACAAATGTATGAAATTTATAATTCATAGATGACAAGTTTCTTAATTTGTGCCTCTGACTCCTTCCAGGCCTCCCCCTCCCCCCCCAAGCCCCCACTCCCACCGTTGAGCATCCTGAACGCTTGCTCTTCTCCCAGCACCCTCTGATGCTGCAAAACATCTGATCTGTGGTGGGTGCTGAGAAGAAGGGTGGAGATGCTGATTGGAGGGGCCTAATGACAGGGAGGCATAGGAGGTTCTGGCCGGGGGCTTCTGCACTCATAATTTTTTCCCATGGGTGAGCCAGCCCCAGAGCACCTTCGAAGTTGGCGCCTGTGGTTATAATGGCTACTTTTTTGCTCCATTTTATGGTACTGACATAGTAATACTCTTATTCTATTTAATATGCATAGTTTATTAACTGTGAATAAACATTATTTTATAGGTTTGCCTGAATCTATCATTGCAGCTGCATGTTCAAGAAGTGGCCAGAGGGTTCTGCATGTTGACTCGTAAGTTACTCCAGTGATATACTTCATTGATCATTTAAGTGTTCGGAAATTGATTTAAAAAATGTCTAACTTGAACTGACTCTATGATTCTAAAATATGTAGCTAAAGTTACTCTTGCAAATCAGGTTGTCTTTTTTGGAGGCGGGGGGCTTTAAAAGTGCACCATCACTCAGCTACATATCGTAAGGGGGGGGGAAATAATTTGTAGATTCAGTTGAAGTTGTTGAACTGAGTACAAATGTATGTGCCTAAATTAAGACCCGAAGGGCTTGTACACACAAACTGCTACACTGACATTCTCTCGGTTGCATTGCTGTAGTCCTTCAGTGAACATGCTACCTATGCCAGTGGAAGGGATCCTCCAATTGACATAGGTAATCCATCTAGGTTGCTGGGACAATTATCCTGTTGACCTAGGCATTACAGGAGATTAATCAGTTTAACTGCATCACACAGTAGTGTGAATCTTTCTTATCCCTGAATGACATAGTTAAACTGACCTAATTTCCTAGCATATACCAGGCTTTAAAGGGTATGTCTACACTACATGGCTCCGTCAACGGAGCCATGAAAATGAGCTTTGTAGACATAGCAAAATGAAGCAGTGATTTAAATAATTGCTGCTTCATTTATATCAAAATGGCTGCTGCGCTGTGCCAATCAGCTGTTTGTCGGCTCAGCGCAGTAGTCTGGATGCTTGGGGGTCAACATCAAAGGCTTTTGATGTCGACCGCCGAGTGTCCAGACTACCGTGCTGAGCCGGCAAACAGCTGATTGGCGCAGCACGGCAGCCATTTTGATGTAAATGAAGCAGCAATTATTTAAATAGCCGCTTCATTTTGCTATGTCTACAAAGCTCATCTACATGGCTCCGTCGACGGAGCCAAGTAGTGTAGACATACCCAAAGTGACTTGGTTTTCAGAGGTCCAAACAACAGATTGCTCTTATTGACTTTAATGAGAGTTGAGTGCCCAGCCCCTGTGAAACATCAGGTCATGTTTTTAGGTGACTATCCTTACCCAGACTACCCTAAAGTAGGGATGTTAGATATTATGTAATTGAATAGTCGTGAAACTGCATGAATTCTTAGCGGTTACACAACTATTGGATAGTGCCCCAGGATGTGGGCCGGCAACCAGTGCGCTCCTTGCCCCACTCCCGGGGAGCCCCCTGCCAGCCCATGCTGCTGCTTCTCTATCAGAGTCATCAGTGTGGGGTGGCAGGCAGGAGGCTAGGCTCTGAGGGGAACCAGTTTAAAAATCTAGCTCCCTGCACAGACCAGCTACCTGCCATCCCGCGCTGTTGACTCTGAATCAGACACAGCAGTGTGCGACGGCAGCAGCCCCTGTCGGCAGAGGGTCAGAGCTTCCCATGGAGGGAGACTGCTTCGCTGCCCTGTACCCTTGCGCTTCTACCTCTGATAGCATTTCTGATAGAGGAAGCAGCATTTCTGGCAGGATTTCTGAGAGGCAGCAGTGTGTGTGTGTGTGGGGGTGGGGGGAGAGAAAGGTGGCACTGTGGAGCCGGTGCTGGGGGGAACCTGCCTGCCCCCCTCCTCCCCACAGAGAGAGAGATCTGCAGAGCAGCATGCATGGAGAGTCTGCTTGAAAGCTGACTCCCCATGCGTATTGGATCCAGCCTGCCCTGTCACTTTCCTTGCCATTGTCTCGCTATCAGAGGCAGCAGTGTGGGTGCGGGAGTAGAGGTAGGCAGATCTGGTGCTTGTGGGGAGCCTGCTTAAAGCTAGCTCCTCACGGGCACTGGCTCCCATTGCCTGATAGAAGCAGCAAGGGAATGGGGGGAAATGCATGTAAGTCGATCAGATTAACCAGAAAGCCTAGGCTTATCAGATAATTGTGTGGTCTGAAGACTTTGCAAATTGCGCTTTTTTTTTTTTTTTTTTTTTTTTGGCCATTTATTTACTTTTTTTTTTTTTTTAAATAATTCTCCACTTACTTTCCCTTGGTTGGTCTTGACCTAGTGCCTGTTTTCCTGCCTTCTGTTATTGCTTTACAGTTCTTTGAGAGGCTCCTATTGATGCTCCATGCTGAGTCTTGGTGCCATCCTGACACCTGGATTGGAGATTTTGAAGCAGTCCTTGTTGGGGCCACGCATGCACGGCACCAGCCAATACGTGTGTGCTAGTATGCGCGGCCCATACCCTCCAGTTCCTTCTCAACTGCCCTTGGCCTAAGATGGAGCCCTGCAGTTCCCTGTTTTTTTGATGATTCTGAAATGGTTTCTTAGTTCTTGTTATTATAAGTGTTATCTAGTTGTTAGTAGTTAAAAACTTTCTTTCTTTATATCATGCTGGGTTCTCCAGGCTTTAAACTCTGTGCCTCCTGCAGAAATGCAATGCCCGTTTCTGATTGATGCTCACAGTGAATCAGTTATTTGGGAGAACAGCATTCAATTCAGAATTGCTCTCGCTACGCCAAACTTAGGGACAGGGCTCGCAAAATTAAAGCAGATTTCAATGGAGAAGAGTTTATACCCTGCCTCGGACCCAGAAATACAACCTAGGAAGGTGTGATCACCTCTAGGTTCTTCTCAGGGCAAAAAGGTACTGAAGAGGAGAAGTTTCTCAGTGCCTCATCGGGAGACCGGGGTCCCTCTCTAGACAATTGGCACAGAAGTCTCGTGTCAGCACTTTTGACGCCTCTGGCACCTCAAGCATCATGGCACCACCATCCATTGCCGCTTCTGACCAAAAAGGCTCCAAACAATGCCCTAAAGCTGTACCGGTAACCTCTTTGGTACCGATGACTACTCCGGCACCATTGGTACAGTACAGGTGCCGACGATGGCACTGACACCAAAAACCGGTAGAAGCAACAGGGGTGATGTTGTGGCTAGTGTCTACTATAGACCACCACATCAGGTGGATGAGGTAGACAAGGTTTTCTTCAGACAACTAAGAAAAGCTTCCAGATCACAGGCCCTGGTTCTCATGGAGCATTTTAATCACCCTGAATTTGGTTGGGAGGCCAATACAGCAGTACACAGACAATTCAGGAAGTTTTTGGAGAATGTTGGGGATAACTTGTTCTTCTTCGAGTGATGTCCCCGTGGGTGCTCTGCTGTAGGTGCTGGGCTTGTCCCGGTGCCACAGATCGGAAACTTTTCCATAGCAGAATTCTGCTGGACTGAGCATGCGCGGACGGCGCTTCACAGCGTTCGCACACTTTTGCACTTGTGCGGTCCGGCTCCTGCCAGTTCCTCTCAACTACCTCAGACTGCAGACACAGTGAACCGGTCTCCTCACATTTTCCTCATCGTGAGAGTGTTCTAAATTGTTAATAGTTCATAGCGTAATAGTTCAATAATTACGTTGTTAATACCTTTGCGTTATTGTTTGTTTTAAAAAAAACCTAAAGAAAACTTTTTTGTGTGTGTAGATAGTTATATAAGATATATATGTAGATACCTTTGTTCTTTCAGGACTGTTAGAGAACCTTGCGTTTAAAAAACAAAACAAAACAAAAACAGAAAACCCAAAGAACATTAAAATGCCCAACTCCCCGGGATTTAAAAAGTGCGACACATGCTGCGAAGCCATGACCGCCTCTGACGGACACTCAGCCTGTATTTGTTGCCTCAGCGAGGGTCACTCGTACCACAGAAGTGCCCTCATTGCAGCAAGCTAACTGCGAGGGCCCGCCAAGATAGAGAGATGAGGCTGTGAATGATCCTCTTTGATAAGGCTCTTCAGTGGACTGGATCAGTCTCTACAGCCTCCTCAGACCAGCCGACTCAAAAATGAAGAGCCTCATCTCCTACTGCTGTTGCGCCCAAGAAAATCAAGGCGTCGCCTATGAGATCTCTGCCTGCTACTTCACAGAGCAGATTGAGCATTGGGGACATGCCTGGCACTGCTGCTACCTACTCTAGGGCAGTCTTAGCCTCCAGAACAAAAAAGTCGGTGACTACAGTGCCGAAGCCACGTGCGCTGGCGGAACTGAGAGCAAACTCGTCACCAGCAGCTTCCTCAACCAAACCTTCAGCACCAGTGGTCACATCCAGGCTGCAGTCACCGTCGGCACTGTCAACATCACAGGTGTCGCCGGCACCAGAATGGCACGCAGACAATACCGCACCAAGGATGTCGGCATCGAAAACACTTCGGCATCAGAGTTCTACACCGTATTCTCCTTTGCCTACTTTCTCTCCGGCACTGGCACCTTCACCGCCGACACTGAGATTGCTGACACTGACATCTCACCCCATGGAACAGCTCATCTCTCCCCACTCTCTGCACCGGAAACTACCATCCCCTTTCTCAGGGTACTGAGATCATGCCCACTACTCCCACCAGGGTTTTTCTGTCTCCCCATTGCCTTCTTCCAGAATGTCATACACCTGCTCCTTTTCACCATGATCACAGTGGGCAATGCATTGGGAAGACTGTAGATGTCCATATCCCGAGAGATGGTCACCTCGTGACAGGCCATATTACCATCACAACTATTACTGCCACTATTCACCTCATCACTATTCCTACCACTATAGGTCTCGGTCCAGGGGATGATCTCTATGCGAATGCACATCCTCTAGGCATTTGCCTGTCCCACCATCTCTTCCCTTCCTCTCCCCACCCCCAAGTACAGCACTCTGTCACCTACGCTTCAACAGTCAGAACCGGAGGAGGGGCAAGTTTCCGACACAGAAGCACAGCCACCCAATGTCTCTCCAATGGTTCAATCCTCCTCTTCACCTGATGAGGCCATTACTCCGGGAAACGTCTCCCCTCCTGATGACCTCAAACAATTTCAAGAATTGTTCAAGAGGGTGGCGGTGAGCCAGCAAGTACAGCCGGCAGAAATACAGGACAAACAACACCGTCTGCTTAAGAACCTCCAGCCGGCCCAAAGCCATTCTGTTAGACGAGGCTATACTCAGAGCAGCGGACGAGACATGGCAAGCTCCAGCATCTGCTCCGCCCACTATTAAAAAAGTATACAAGAAATATTTTGTGCCACCTAAAGGGATGGAATTTTTA